CTTCCTCTTCTCACACTCCAAGGTATGATGCCCAGCCCTGGCTTAGCCTCTGGAAACAACATGGTCAGGACCTGGAAGGAATCCATGCCTGTCTCCAGCCCTGGAGATGCAGAGGGGAAGAGGGCTTACCTGGCTCCCAGCTCTGGACCAGGGGTCTGAGGAGGTCCTGGGATACTTGGACTGATGCTCAAAGCTCTGGCTTCCACTCACTGTCAAGTCAGTAACAGCCTTGGCCCTGGCAGAGGGCAGGCTGGGTAGTCATGCAGGTTTGCCAGGGAGGAAACCTGTCGTGCCAAGGTGGCCGGCCCTAGGACAATACTGCTGCAGAGGAGAGGGTGGGAGGCTGCTGGGGGCGGGCGGTGTGAGGGGGAGGAGGTCCAGAAATTAGACCAAAAGTGGTTAGGGGGTATCAGGGAGTGGTCCAAGTAAGTACACAGTCTGCTGACTTTTGCCATGTCTAAGGGTCTCAGTCCAGAGGATCACAAAGCTTGGCGTCCAGTCTGTCACCTCTACCTTCAGTTTCTTTTTTCTTTTTTTTGTTTTTTCTTTTCTTCTTTTTTTCTTTAGGTTTTTCAAGACAGGGTTTCTCTGTGTAGCCCGGGCTGTCCTGGAACTCACTCTGTAGACCAGGCTAGCCTCGAACTCAGAAATCCACCTGCCTTTGCCTCCCAAGTGCTGGGATTAAAGGTGTGCACCACCACTGTCCTGCATACCTTCAGTTTCTAGTCAAGCATTGCTTGACTCAAAGGAAGGATCCTGGCAGGCATCCCTCATTGAATGCCCTGGGATGGATCTACCCTCACATGCTTCAACTAGGCTTGCACACTTGCTCAGCCAAGCATCCCAGATTCAGGCTGGGCACATGTTCCTTAATTAGGAGTCGGGGTGGGAATCTAGAGTGAAGAGCCCCCTCCTCTGTAATATGAGAAACTAGGACCATGTCTAACTGCATTGAGCAGCAGGCTTCCAACAGAGTCTGCTGAGGAAACCCCACAGGAGCTAGATGCTCTTCAGAGGAGCCAGGGACACTGTAGAACCAGGAACATATACACAGGGCCTGGTGACAGGGTGCCCAGGGCTGGCCTTAGCCTGTTCATCTCTCAGGCATTGGGGGGGGGGGGGGGGGGGTCATGCTCAGCCTGCCTAGGCCTGCCTCTGTCCTTTTCTAAGCAGGAAGTGTCATTCGGGATTTGCTGAGGCTGGTAACACCCACACAGGGTGGACAAGACAGATAAACTTGCTCGCGGGGGTTGATTCCTGAAAGCGGGTGCAGGTATTGCCTAAAGCACCCTCACCCGCCTGAAGCGCTTTTTGTTTGTTCAGTCAGACGACGATTTCCCCCCCCACCCCCCCACCCCCAGTCAGCCCTGACTAGGGCCACATGATTGAGAGGTGCCAAATGCCACCTTGTCCTCCGCAGCGTCTGCCCTGGCCGCTCCCGGGAAGAGCTCCAACGCCAGGTCGTATGCGGGCGGGGCCCTCGACAATGAAACCTCTGCCAAAGAGGAGTGACCCTGGGCTCCACGCTGGCGGCCAGTGCCTGGGCGCGCAGCCGTAGACCCGGCGCTGCCCATCCCGCGCATCCCGGGCGGGGCGCGGCGCGGCTAACCCGCCTTCCTTTCACCCTCCCGGTGCCCGCCCGCCCGCGGCGGCCATGGGGGCGCGGCTGGGGCGGCGGGCAAGAGCAGATGCCCCTGCAGCGCCGAGTGCCGGGCCCGCGCCCTATGAGCGCCGGGTGCGCTGGCTGCGAGAGATCCAGTCCATGCTCCGGGAGCGGCGGCCGGAGCGCGCTCGGCAGCTGCTGCGCCTTCTGCGCCAGGCGAGAGAAAAGAACGGGACAGCCCGGGATCCGGGGTGTCAGGGAGGGGCCGGGGTTGCGGGCTCCGGGGTGGGTGCGTTCCTAGAGCGCGGGTTTTGCAGGCATAGAGGTTCTTGCCTGGGGGGGGGGTGCGGATTTAAGTGGGGGGACCAGGTGGGGCTGGTGGATTGCTTTCTAAAGATGGGGCTGGCATGTTGGGGCACTGGGATTTGAAGTCTGTCGTGTTGAGTGTGTGTGTTGAGCTCCAGTCTGGAGCTAAGAGTTTACATTTGGTCCTTCTCAAGAGCTGGAGTGGGCGAGGGTAGGGGCATCTCACGCTGAAGGACAATGGGAAGAATGCAGGTCCCCATACTGCAGGAAGAACGGAAGCAGCAGAGCCGGGAGAAAGGGTCCTGGGAGGCATAGCCCAGATGGTCAGGAGACAGACAGATACCATGGCGGCCCAGACAAAGCCACAGCGCACGCACCACCCAATCTAACAGGCAGTTTGAGCCCTCAAGGACACACAACCACATTTGTACATCGCATCACCACATCTGGGCATTTGGGAGACACATTTGGTACCCTAGCCAGATTTCCTGAGCCCCGAGATGCCCTAGGGAGACAGGGATGCCTGTCCCAGCATGACCCCTGGGCAAATCATTTCCTACTCAACCTCCCCACCCTCGACTCTAGCTGCTGCTCCCACCGTGAAGGTAGATGCTTAGAGTCAGAGAAACTGGAAGAGATGACAAGCCAGGGCCCAGACAGAAAGCTGAGAGAAGGCGGGGCTAGAGATGTAGTTCGATGTCATGGAATTCGAGAGGACTCAGCTCTGTTCTCCCCCCAAAAACAGGATAAACCAGGCATGGTTGGGAGATGGAGACAAGGGATCAGGAGTTCAAGGTCATCCTCTGCTACTTAGCAAGTTCAGGACCAACCTATAATATGTGTGTGTGTGTGTGTGTGTGTGTGTGTGTATGTGTGTATGTG